AGGCACTGAAAAAGCACAAGGGTTGCCTAAGAAATTGATAGAGTACAATTTAAAAGGTTTCAACAAATACAGTGTTGGAGGTGCCAAGAAATTTGGAAGTCCTGGCTAACAGACTGGAAGAGAGCCACATAAGCCCATTTCAAAGAAAGGCGATTCAAAGAAATGTAGACATTATTTGCAGCAGTGCATACACAGGGAGGTGTTAGGAATTCAAGCCAAATTTAGAAGAGGACTTGGAATATGGAATATTATTGCTGACATCAGATGGATCTTGGCTGACAGCAGAGAATACCAGAAAGATGTTTATTTGTTGCAATGTAGTGAATTTAATTTGGCTTTTATAGTCATAGCCTTTGTTACTCCCACCAAATGACTTTTGTTCTCCTGATGAGTCTGGTAAGAAGGTAGCAGAATATACTAATTTGATTCTATGATTCAGCAGAGAATGATTGTTAAGAGGCTTAACTGTGATTGCCATCCTGCTGGGTATAAAATGAGCTATCTCAGACTCAGGAGGGAGATCCCACTACTAACAGAGAAGAGCTGGAAGTAGTGTATACATTGGACCTGAAGATATCTCCTTGATCCAGAAGACAGCTATGGCACCAGAGAAGTGGCAGAGGAGGAGTAGAAGTAGAAGGCCAAAGCATGAGACAGCGGGGTGGCTTCCAAGCCCACAGAGCAAGTAACGCTGAGTGATTTGGGGCAGAAAAATAGAATGGGGGTGATTCTGGACACTTAATTGTGAGAACTGGGTTTGTTTACTATGAAGCTGGAGTTGAATGCCTTTATGTTGAGGCTTACAGTAGAGTGGTATGCCATTTGAGCATTTAGTAGCAGCCCTAAAAGAACTTTGTAATCTTCCCTGAGCAGGGGAGAGGCCAGGCCAAGAGGCTGAGGACCAGAGAGGTTGACCTCAGGGCATGGTAGAGAAGAAATCATCCTAACTAAACAATTATGTCCTGAGAATTTCTCACCTGAATTGTAACCTGTGAATTTCCCTAATAAATATCGTATTCACGAGCAATGTCTGTGAATTCTGCATGGCCCTTGCCTTGAATTATCGAATCCTTCCTCAGTGAATTGGGTAAACGGGATGGAGGGCGGCAGTATGTCTAACCTCTCTTCCTTGTGGCAATCAGCCTTGGGAGCCAGAGAAGGTCAGGTGTGCTCTCTTGCACACTGGTCCCACACTTGTGTTTTATCGACTATGCCCTAAGTTCCCAAACGTATTTGGTCTACTGCCCCCTTTTCGGAACACATAAATTACTTGGCACCCCCTAGTGATTAAAACTTTTGTACTGTAGCCTTTAATCCAGGATAAAATGTAGGTATCTGCTTTTGCTGCCCCCTCGATCGTTACAGCGCCCACCCCCACCCCCAGGGGATAGTATCACCCATTTTGGGAAACTGTGGTATAGATCCTAACAGACTATGCATCACACTTTGAAGAATGGGAATTTCAAAACACTTCCGTGTGCTCATGTAGAACCAAAAGGCAGCCACTGGAAAGAACATGGAAATACTCCGTGTTTTTTTTTAAAGTTCTGCATCAGAGTTATATCCTTTCATTATCCTTATTAATCTGCATGCTGATCACCTAATTTGAGAAACTAGACTATAAAATGAACATGACATCAGAATTGAAGGAAGATGCATTCAAAGTCTGTGATGTGCAGATAACTTAATCTTGGTTGTTCAGAGTGTTTACTGATGAAGATCAAAGATCAGTGGTGGGATTCAGCCAATTCTCACTGGTTCACCAGAACTCACACATAATGTTTTGTTAAATTCGGTGAACCAGTTGTTAAAATGCACTTATAATCATGGTTCTCTCTAAGGTTGGAAGTTGAGCAGCCACCCAATGTAGAAACCAAAATTTCTTTACACATTTTTAATATTTATCTCCACAATAGCAGTGTTCTGATATTGTTTTGAAATAATAAGCTACATTTTGGTATATCTCTTTTATACTTAAAGTGGTCATTAGGACAGTGAACTGGTTGTTAAATTATTTGAATCTCCTCACTACTGTCAATGGCTACATGCACCAGCATGTATTACACCGCAACATAAAGAAAATATCACAACTGGATCGATAAATAACATCACAACAAATGCAGAAATGATTGAAGTTGTCAAATACTGTATTTTACTTGGATCCACAATCAATGCTCATGGAAGCAGTAGTCAGGAAATCAAAGACTTTAATTGTATTGAGCAAATCTGCGGCAAAAGACCTCTTTAACATGTTAAGAAAATGTCACTTTGAAGAATAAGATATAGCATGACCCAAGCCATGGCAATTTCAATTGCTTCATAGGTATGTGTAAGATGGATACGAGATAAGAAAGACAGAATTGATATTTTTGAATTATAGTGCTGACCAATCAGTAAACAATCCTGTCTTGGAAGACATAAGCCAGAATGCTCTTTAGAATCAAGCATAGGCTTTTTTCCCCCCTCCTCACATACTTTGGACATGTTATCAGGAGGGGTCTATTCCTGGAGAAGGACATCATGCTTGGTACACTACAGGGAAAATGAAAGAGGTAGGCCATCAACCAGATGGGTTGACACAATGGGTGTAACAATAGGCTCAAGCAAGGCAATTGTGAGGATGGCGCAGGAATGGGCAGTGGTTTTCGGTCTGTTGTACTTGCAGGTTAGGTTTGAGTTGGAACTGACTCCAAGGCACCTAACAAACCATCGACATGAAATAAATATTTGAGGGAAGGGTCTGAGCTAAGACAGTTGATGAAATATTTCGTCCCTCAAGCTACTGTGATTTCTACTTAGTTGTGTGAGATTCTCCTCCTTGTTCTTTTGAAAAAACAGCCACCATGGGAGCTGCTTTAAATATCTATTTATTCACATTATGGTAAAGCAAAGAGGATTTTATTTGCTTTTACCTATTAATATTATTAATATTATTAATAGGTAAAGCCTATTCATACAGTACATAGAATTCTAAATCATCTTGGCATTATATCTCAGATATCTTATTTATATGAGTCAATGGTTGCCTACTGTTCTTTATTTTAAAACATATTTGTAAATCCTACTAATTTAGGGAAAATCATTATTTCTTAGGTCTGGAGGCTGGGGTACTAGACAGTGGTTTTCCTTATTCCAGCATTCATCTGGATATTTTAGAATATTTTTCCACTTTTGCATATTTTTTCCTGATTAACACTTATTTGTTATGATATAGTCAATTGTTAATGCATGATTTAGACTCTAAATTTTTGGTTAATGCCCGTTCACTGATACCACACCTTCCAAAGACAGTATTAAATTTGTTGCAGTTTCTCAAATTATTTCATTTCCTGTAGACCTTTTTTACACAGGTGTTATAATACTATGACTCTTTTTGAAACTTGCTATATATAGCAATATATATATATATATAGCTATATATATGAAACAAAATATATAGGCAATATTTTGATACCTTCCAATATCACAATATTGTATGTGATCCAGAATTCATTAAAATTTGGACTGCCAGATAAAGACAATATATTTTCCTCCCAAAGTTCCCTAATGTTTTCCATTGGAATTCATCTTCTTAAAACTCAAATCAGTAAGAAGTCTGTTGTTGTTTTTAAACAATAAAACAGGAGTAAGACTCAATGCCTTTGGAGCTCTATCTCATATCCTCTCAGGGCACTCCCTCCCACCATTATTACAGACATGCACTTGCCTTAATTGCACTGCTTTCCCTTTTTGACCTGGGGCTCTCTAATGCCTCTGAGAACTTAGTAGTTTGAAAGAGTTAAGACCTCCAGGGGCAATGCTGGACCAAGAGTAAAACTGGCCTGGAGCCAGTGGGTAAATTCCCCTCCCCCCATGCTGCCTTTGATAGGTGGCAGGTGGGTTGGAAAGTTCTGAGATCCTGATTGGATAAAACTCAAGTTCACTATTGCTGCTGTTGTTAGGTGCCTTAGAGACAATTCTGACTGTTAAATCTTAATTTCCCCCGTTCCTCAGAATGGAAAAAGTGTTGGTAGTAATTATTTTCCCTCCTGGACTAACTGGGAGAAGAATACATTAATTATCTATTCATCTAGCCATCTTTATAAATCACTATGGCTACCATCATTACTCAATACCGACTACATAGTAGATTCTAAATCTTCTTGACATTAGAAAAAGTGCACTGGAATATTCTGAATTAATATTTTCTGAAACATATTTAGGTAAAATATTAAAATATTTCTCTTTCTAAATATAAAACACATTTTATTTTTACACTATCCAAATATTTTAGAAATATGAAACTCATAATTTGGAAGCAGGAATAAAAGAGTAAAGTATTATCTGGTAGGCATAGAGATATTAATTCACCTGGACCTGGCACATGCAGAAACACTATGACCTTGCACCGGAGATGAAGAAGGTCTTAGGACATATTGGCATCAACCAAGAAACTGATACACAAACAAAAGTAGTGAAAATGTTCATCTTCAAGAAAAGTGAGGGCTTTTTACAAAGAATACTGTTCACATAACGCATTTCTAATAAAAAATATCTTCAAAATCATTAATTGAACAAATTTTGCCAAAGTAAAATAGGAAGGCTGGTGAGTACACAATAAAGCAAAGGAAGGTTAGTTATTTAATGAAGTAATATTCCATCAGAAGTTACTTTGTTACAAAGTACCTTTTCCTGATCACTCATGTCAGAGATGAACAGTGAAAAAAATGATTTCTAATTTTCTTTTCTCTGTAGCAATTACTTATTATGTTTCAACCTTATTACATATTATAATTTAAAAATACGTAATATTTTTCTATTAGATACTATAGAATTATTACAGCTAACATAATGTATGCTTTGATTCTCTCTACAATTCCTATAAAACATCCTGAAAATCTTATCAAAATGATGTAGGCACTACATTTTCTATGCTGGTTTACTCTTTTGTACATTTTATTTAATTACTAAACAACGAAATAGTCTGTAAATGAATATGAATATACAACAAGCATACTTACTACGTGAAGAATTTTATTCTCTGTTTCATATACAGTACAATCCTAAAAAAAAAAGAAGCATATACATTAGGTCCAACATATAAAACATTATTTCAAAAATACTTTCCTTGGATTTATACCACAATTTGGAAACGTTTTGACAATTCAAGCAAAAAATTGAGTGAACTTTTAAAAAAATCTGAAATTTTACACTAAAATTAGTTCTATTCATTACTTCTGATGGTTAATAATGGGGAAAATTCTTATTTTTTTAAAATTTTAATTTCTAATATTTTTCTTTTCACCACATAACAAAGGACAACATACATTAAGGAGAAGTAAAAAGAAATATTAAAACAAATTATTGTGACTTTTTATCTGAAACATTACCTGTGATAAATGCAGTTTTCTAAATATCGCTAGCATTTCAAATATTAATTTTATCTCAATAATCATATCGAAGTATAATAGTGTCATGTCCAATGTTATAAGATATTCCAGAAATAATCTTTATATTATATATTTAAAATAGATACATGCTACAAGTAAATATCAAGTTTATAGCACTTATTTAAACTTGAATCCCTGGAATTATATATTTTTTAATTTTTAAAAATTACCTTTGCCTTTTTATATGTAATTGCTAGAATTAAAATAAGTAGCAATATATTGATCTAAGTGATCTAAGGCTTGGCTTCCTCAAAGACTTAATAAAATGGGCATGAGTTTAGTAGTAGCGTCGTAAGGGTAAGGAATAAATGGGAATTGAAATACATTGTTTGGCAGCGTGACATACAATAAATGATAAATATATTTTAGCTATATATTGTGTTGGATATCATTTTAAATTTTTCAAAGCTTATTTTATAATAAAAAGTTAACCGAATTATTTTCTGTATGGCTATCTAATTTTGAAATATTTTAAAGAATTACTGTTCAGTTCCTTTTTTCCCTTGAATTTAATTGGTTCAGTTCCTTTTTTCCCTTGAATTTAATTGAAACAAAAGAGAATCTTGTTCAAAATAGTTTTTATTAGTTTACTTACTTGTTAGTGCTAGTGTACATAACACTTTTAACTGCTAGCAGGAGTTCTGATTTATCTTACAAACTAATAAAAAGACTTAAAGACTGGACTAAACCTTGCTTTTATGAGGGACTCCTGTGCCAGAGGATATGTCTATATACTTATACAATGTCAACTGTGAATAAAACATGAGTTATTGTGAAGACAGAAGCCAAGGTGTAGATAAAACATTTATAAAGATAATTTGTACCAAGATTTTAATTTATGAGAGTCCAATTTTACAGAAATAACATTCCAGCACAATTACATTGTGAAGAGATGATTTGAGGAAAAGTGGGAAGGTTCCCAGTTTCCACATGCTAACTCTCTTTCTTCAGCCACAGTAGATTCAAGTTTTCCTATTTGCCTACCATTCCAGAATCAGAGGATAAGAATAATTGTTCAGATGTCAAAAGGATTTTTCTGAATTAAAAAATAAAGATCTAAGTCTGTACCATGACAATGGTATAACAACACAAGGGAAAACTGTGAGGGGGTACTGCCCCCAAACTTGATTTTTCCCCCCAAACTATCTATTTAACGTTTTTTACAAAAAACCCTTATCACCTTCAAAGTACTTTCTATTACACCTACTACATTTTTCAAATCTGTAATTCCATTCTTTAAAAAAATCATTTTATAACTCTTATGACAATCCATCCATTGTGTTAAGCACATTTGTACATTTGTTGCCATCAACATTCTCAAAACATTTGTTTTCTACTTGGGCCCTTGGTATCCAATCTCATCATTTTTCCCCTCCCTCCCTGCTCCCCCTTCCCTCATGAACCCTTGAGTTTGAAAAATGTTTCCAACAATGCAATCACAGATTCGACAAATATATTAAGTGTAATGGAGAGTACTTTGAAGATTATAAGGTTGTTTTGTAAACAAATTTAAATACATGTCTTTGAAAAATATTCCATATTTTTGGGTACCTCCCCTCATATTTAAATAAATTTTAGGTACTTTGAGGAAATAATTTTATTAGTAGGTTATGGGATTTAAAATTAGGTTTAAAGATATTTGCTATTCAAGTATGGGTTTTATTTACACCAGGGAAAAATATTTCCCAAAAGTAATATGCTAAATTTAAAAAATAAAGTACTACTGCATTTGGAGAAATCTACATTTTAGGGACCCATTTATGATATATCCTATAGAACAATACACTTCTGGTATTCTAGTTATTTTTAGGCTAGAAGTAAATTTAGAATTTAAAAACTAGATTTCACTATGCTACAATACACTCCCAGAAATTTCCTTCAGTAGCTCAAGTTTCCTCCAATCGAAGAAGCACACTCACTGCCATCGAGTCGATACTGACTCATAGGGACCCGACAGGACAGGGTAGAAGTGCCCCTGTGAGATTCTGAGATTGGAACTCTTCATGAAAGTAGCAAGCCCTGTCTGATTTTAAACTGCTGACCTTGGCGATCCCAGCCAAATGTATAACCACTACACCACATATAAAATAAAATTTGCATTTGTCTTTATTCTTTTCCATAGAATGCTTCTACAAATAATGTGCTGTACAGTTAAACGGGCAAATTTCTCCCCCACCCCCACTGCTCAGCTATTTAATTCGTCACAGAGCAGCCAGAGGAATTATTCACCATCAAGGAGGCACATTTAGAAGAATCTCGAAATCTTAATGAATTCTCGGCCCTGGAAGGGAGGATTAAAATCGAAGCGTGGTAAAGGACCCAGAAGAGGCGAGCTCCTCCGGTATGGCCGGAGAAACTATAAGTAAAACCGCAAATTGCCATTCCTGTGTGGGGGTGGGGCTAGGGCCCGGATTAGTGTGATGACCAGGGACAGCCGGCGAAGCGTCTGACAGAAGTGATTCCCAGGGATGTTCCGAGGAGAAAAATCCATCTTCTGGGGCATGTTCAGAGTTGGTCATCAGCAGGAGGGGTTGCAGGCAGACAGGGACAATGTCCGTCTTATTCCAACCTTCCGGAGACCCTTCGGCCTGTTTAGGGAAGTGGGCCGGTTCCTCCCTCTCTGGGCCAAGTTGGTTGAAGGTTGTCAGGGTCACGGGCAATTTTACGGCTCCTTTGGCACCCTGCTCTCGGAAGCAGACTCGTACCAGATCCCTCTCCTGCCCTCCCCCCACCACTCCTGCAAGCCCATCTAAATGGGCAAATTTCTTAATGAGGAGATCATACTCCTAAAAATGAGAAATCCTTTAATTTTGAATATTTTTCTTTTTAGGATTGCTAATTGCAAGTCAGCAGTTCAAAACCAGCAGCTGCTCCGCAAGAGAAAGATTAGGATTTCTATTCCTGAAAAGAGTTAGTCTTGGAAACCCACAGGCGCAGTTCTACCCTGTGTTATAGGGTTACCTAGGGGTTAGCATCAACCTGATGGCCGTGAATTTTTCTTGTTAGAAACAGTCTCCCACATAGGATCACAATCAGCTACTATTCCTACGAAACAATAATGTATTTGCTATGCTGAGCAGAATACACAGAAACCTCTCCCTTACTACATATTTTCCTTGCTAAAGTTAACAAGTTATAAGTACTGGGGTCAAAATGCTCACTAAAAGTAATATTTCTCACAAGAACAGAACATAGGTTATTAATAATACATACACAAAACTAGTGATGAACTACGGTGTAGTATATATGATTATAGTGGTACATCAATTAACGGAAGGGGCTTCAAAAAGTCCATGAAAAAAATCAATTAAAAGATAATGGAAAATTTCCCCAAACTTTTAAAAGGCCCCTCACATTTCATGGGCCTTTAAAATAATAAATACTATAACTCTGCCTCATTTTAGTGTTTCTTATAGTAATTATTTATGTTGAATTTTAATAACATGGGGATAGAGTGCAAAGCATACATATCTTAAACAACTCTGGGTTTTGTGACTTCCCCAATGTTTTCATTTGGCCCTAGTGCCTTATCTTGTGTGAATCAGAGGTAACTTCCCAGAGTAAATGATGTGTAAACCGAGGTTAGAAGAATGCTATGACTTAAAGATGGTAGAAGTACTTCGTGTAAAAGAAACAGCCGTAGAGACGAATATATGTATGTGTGGCAATATCACTACTAAAAAGGAAAGAATAGTGAGAGATGAAACAGAAGAGATAAAAAATTGAGCAAATTTGATCATGTGATGCTTTGAGAGTCATTTAAATGGTATGGTTTTTATCAAGAGG